GGGGGGCGAGCTGTTACCTGATGAGATTGATGTGATTGTTGAAGCCTCGACTGAGACTCCTGGCGGGCATCTGGTCCAACCACAGAACTGGCTGGTCTGGATCCGCGATCCTACGAGCGGCAGGAAGAAGGAGGAGACCTGTTTAGTCTGTCAACACTGAAACCCACTCAGCTGAAGACCACAGACTCTTTCAGCGGAGTAAAAGTGATTTCAGGTCTCACTTTCTGTGCTGTAATTTAACAAGAGCTTCAGTCTAGACTGGCGGTTTGAGAATGAGGAATTGGTGGCTGATGCACATCGACATCTGTCTTCTTCCTTTGCTCCCTGGTGTTTTTAGGTTATTTCCTGGAGATGATTAGGATTCCACAGTTGCTCCTGAGAGGAACTCTCTTGGATCGCGACGGAGACGCACATTTTTAGGTGTTTTGGTCGTCGTCCTCATCCAGCCAAACCAAACTTACGCTTGGATGCTTTAAAGGGTATTTTAACACTAAACCTGAGTCTGTAAATGACGTTTACAGTCAGTTTATTATACAGTCACTTGATCCCGGTCTATAGAGACGCAGATTATTTGCCTTTTTTCCAAATTAAATGCAGGAATTCTGTCCTCTACTCCAAAAATCTGTGAAAAATCTACAATAACACAAACTGGTACATCATGCCTTTGAATAACACGTCCACCTTCTCTTCCTGACATATAAATCTGGGTCTGAATGGTTTTATTGATTAAAAAAAAGCTAAAAAAGGTGCGTTAAGTTACTCACCTCCTCCATTTGACAGCTATATCGAACATGTCTCTCCACTGCATTTGCCTGGTCTTGCCGTTGACTCGCACTTTGGAGTTGCTCCACGTCCGATGCATAGCCTGCATCACCTCCAGGGTCGCTAAACCCATGGCTGAAAAAGCACGACAACTCTTATTTTTCCTGCTGTTAATGCTTTAATTCATGAGCTACGGTGTGTATCGGTGCTACCTCTGTGTATCCTCCTGTTAGGTAAAAAACCAGGAGTGTCGTATTGCATTAACGCCCCCAAGTGGTCGGCTGTGCAGATCAGCTTCTGAACTTCACTGCTGTAGCTGTCGAAGTCCTGCGGCAGCACGTCCCTGAAAACCACAGAGAGAGGAAGACACAGAGGATGAGCTTCGTCACAGCTTTTCATTGAAGTGTTTGTTTTTGCTACGTCTTTGTAGAACAGAAGAGAACAGAAGAGACGAGTTTCAGCAATGAAAACACCAGCCTTGAAGAACAATGGAGCTTTTCTGGAACGTGGAAAAGATAGCAGGTGTTTGCTTCAGCTTTGAGCTGGTGAGAACTGCTGCAAACTTCAGGAAATTAAAGCTGTGATGGTTCCTGATTTCTCAGATTTCTACACACTAGAGTTGAAGTGTAGGACAAGAAGATGTATTAAATCCTGTCTGTTATATATTATTATCTTAAAGCCCGTTCGCAGCTATAACAATAAGTGTAGTTTATGATCTCAGAGTGATATTTACACGGACGAGGAGAGCTTCCAGTTATTGCTCCAGGTGGGAATCAGCTGTAACGGAGCCATCAAACTTACTTGATATGTGGCTGCAGGCCGGGCTGTTCTTCATAGTCCTCTATTAAAAAAGGCAGGTTCTTGGCCCAGTGATTCTTAAAGTTCCCGGGTAAATCCTGGTCCACGTTGTACTCTGCTACTGGGATGTCGAGGTGGGAGTGCAGGTAGCGAGAGTACTCTGGTAGAAACACAAAGTGGGGCAAAGCAGGCCGAGAACACGAGACATCATATAAAATTTAAATGCATTATGGTATCTCTTATGTATGAGTTTGTGTGTGTGCGTGCGGGGACACCAACCTCTGAGGTATTTCACTTTGAGGTATTCTGAGCTGGCCTTCTGTCCCAGCAGAGGGTCGTTCAACATGACTTTAGTCTGAGCTTTGATGCCCTCGTAGAACTGCCCCATCGCCACGTGACTTAACCCCTTCATGTACTGACACACCTCGTTGTAGGGCTCCAACTGGAGACACCTCTGGGGAACGAATGGGAGGAGGGAAATTCAAGGTTGGACTGACATCAGTGTGCTGAACAAACAGTATATGTACCATTGTACCACTGTTTAGGGTATTTTACAGCCGTTTAAAAAGGTCCAGTTGTAACATTTAGGAGGATCTGTCGGCAGAAATTAAATATAATATCTGTAGAATCACCTGGAAACCTTAGAATGAGACGTTTTTATCTACTATCCGTGTTGAACCTTGTTTCTACAGTAGCCAAAACGGACAAACCGAACACTGACTCTACATGAGGCCTTGTGTGTTTCTTCTTGAGTTTCGCTGCCTCCGTAGTTTCTTCTACACACTTTGCATTTTTTATTCCCAGGTTGTCAAATACCGACGCAAGCGGGGTTCAGTTGATTTCACTCACAACTTCACCTCTTGGTGCCACTAAATCCTACAAACTGGACCTTTAAAACTGCAGTTGAATTGTAATTTTCGCTGTTATGGGGAAAAGAAGGATTGCATGAATTGCATTATGCAGCCTAACGGAGGAGCAGAGCTTTTTTTTTTATTCAGCTGTGGATTCCTTCACCTTGAAGTTGCCTATGGCCTCCTGCAGCGAGCCGTGGTGGTACAGCATCATGCCTCGGAGCTGGAGAGACTGGATGTGGTTCTGATTCAACATGAGGGCTTTCTGGAAGCTCTCCATTGCTGACTCAAAATCACCCAACTCTCTGAAAGAGGAAGCAGAGACACCCAAAGACCAACAGTTGACGTATTGTTAGTAAGGCGGAGAGGAAAGGTAAGACTCTCAATTCCTTAAACACAAAAGCACGTAGTGTTTATCGTTGTTAATGATATTAACAGTGAATCTCAGAGACTTGCTGTACCTGTAGGCCTGTCCAAGGCTCTTGTAGGCATCTATGAAGTCAGACTTTAACTTCAGAGCCTCTTTGAATGTCTCAATGGCTTCCTGACGAAGGGAAACAACACGTTTTCACTCAGAGACAACACGGAGTTAACAGGATATCGTGACAGGGAACATGTGGATAGAAGTCAGCAGGTTCCAGCCTTGTATGAAACATATCCAGATTTTTATGCCTGCAAATTGTAATTCGCATAATCTGTGACTCAACTGTGACTCAAGTGTGACTCAAGTGACCGCTTCACCACAAAAGTCCACCGAAGTCAGAAGGATTTATCATTTCACGGCAGCCCATCTGGTAACTGTTGAGATATTTGAGCCTGGACTGACGAACCGACAGACAGAGCTTCAAAAACACTTAATCTTTTCCAGTGTTTGATTGTTTACACACTGTAAACTCTTTGCACACAGCAGTTTAAAAGAACGTTCAGTGTAAACAAAATGAAAGTTAACAACGTGATCTCTGCTTTCATGGTGTGAACAAGGAACCGTGCACCTACGAGGTCAGCAGACAAAGGACGGAGTCGAGCTATTTTACTGTACAGATAAAAAAAAGAAGCAGATTGTGCAATATTGACTTTGTTTCCATGAGGACGAGCTGTTATAATGAAACAGTACTTAATGTCTGCTGCTTTCCTCACTGTGTTTTAGAGTTTTGTTGTTGTTGTTTGTCAGCTGCTTGTACGGGGATTCCCTCAGGAAATTGGTTAGTCAGGGGTTAGCGAAGGTGATAAACAACCAAAAACCGCCCCCATACATACATGTGACTGGATAAAACAGAGCGGCTGAAGGAGCTTTTGCAGACGAGCCTCCCGGCAGAAAGACCGCAGATTAAACAGCTGCAGACGGCGCTCTGCACAATCTGACATCGACTTATCGAAGTGTGAGAGACTCTGTGAATGTGGGGACTGCGAAACGACAACATAACTGACAGTTACGCAACACGTTATCCAGATTTTCACATTTTAAAACGATAACTTTGCTCACTGTGAACGGAGCGATGGCTGCAGCGTCTTTAAAGGGTTTTCTTTACAGACGAGCTGTCAGCCGTGTATCGGGGAATCCTCTGTACACAGAGAGACTACCTCTGCAACAGGAAACTGGTGTGTGATACACAGAAACCTCTTCCTATTGAGAGGTCTGCGCAGAAAAACTGATGTGGTCACCTCTGACTACTTAGCTCAGCTGAAAGTATTCCCTTAGAGCAGGCTACTTTGTCTTTTGCACGATGTACACATAATATAAATCAGACAATTTCCACCATAAACTGCTGGAGGTTTTCTAAAAGCAGCAGATTAGTTTACCCAGATTTATATTCCTAAGCATGTTTCCAGCAGTAAAAGGAAACTGGCTGCAGCAGTTTACAGTAAATAAGGGACTCTTGTCATGTTGGCAGCTCATAAAAGTAACAAATGGGGATTAAAAAAACAAAAACATATGCAGCCAAATTCCCTATTTTCACCTTGAGCATGCCTCTGTGGAAGAACGTGAGGCCTTTATACAGCATGGCAATGGGCTGATTCTTCTTCAGCTCTAAAGACTGCTGGAAGTCTTCCATCGCCGCCACATAGTCCTGGTGGAAAGGCAAAGCGGCAGGGTCAGCGTTAAGGCACGCGTGTACGCATTCACATACAGGAGATCGGACAGTCAAACCTCTGAGATGAAGAGCAGCGTTCCTCGGTGTCTGTAGAGACGGGCTGAGGGCTGCAGCTGGATGGCTTTGGTCAGATCGGCCAGAGCCTCACTGATACGACCCAGAGGAGACAGGATCTAAAAGGAAAGATGGAAGTAGAAGCACACATTCAAAGGTTTTCAATTTCAGTTGGTTAGTGCAAAAATGTTATTGAAAAGAAGTTTTTTTTTGGGTAAAGGAGACATAAAACGTACATATGTAAGTGTAAACACAAAGACTCTGTAACTATCTCTGTGTGACTTTCATCGGTTTGGATTACAGCAGATATACGCTGATGTGGCACAAAGAGGAAACGGCTCACAGCCAACCTCAGCGCGAAAGATATTTTAAACTAACAGCGTGATTCTTTGATCTTAGTGCAGCTGCAACAGCACACAGTAAACTCATGTGACGACTACGTGCGTGTCTATACATTGTTAGAGCTGAACACAACTACTGAACTGAATATTAAACACTTTTTGAGCACAATTAAATCAACTTTAATGAACTTTCACAGCTACTTATTTAAAAGCTGCAGAGCTCTTTAGGCAAAATGTAACTGAACATCTTGTTTCTTGGACTACGACTTCCTTTTTCTCCTCTACTGCAGACGATCTATAAATATGGCGAATGTACTGAATTATGCTGCACTTTGCCACATTACGCCCTCTGATTCAGGCCCCTGATAGTCGACCAAACTGAGTTATTTATTCCCTGTTTTGATCAGTGATGTTATACTGTGTTAATTAATAATAATAATAACTAAATGTTCAGTCCTTGCTGGTTGTTCTGACACATTCAGAATCATTACAGCCTTTTGCTGTCAGCATTTAACAACTGACTGTTGAAATATAGATATATAAGTGTTTAAATAATTAAATTAAGATCATAAACGTGCGATGATTAGTCCCTACTGTGACTGCATCAGAGAGAGAGCATTTTTGTGCATTTTATTTATTTTATTCTATTTTATTTTTATGTTTAGTTGCTTTGGTATTCTTTCGGTTTAGCTGTGTGCTTACTTCATTTTTTTTGGTGGGTATGTATTGTTGTGCCTTCTACTGTGTGATTGGTATTATTTCTGTGCGTATCTTTGGCTTGGCCAGCACTTGGAGAGCCTGGTGTCTTTGTTGAAATCGTGCTATATACATGAAGTGGATTGGATTGGAGAGAGAGCAAATCACAACAAGTTATCACCAACACATCATAACACCCAGTGATGCTCAGAACACAAAACAGATATAGTGGCGATTAATGATGAGTTTAAAGTTACACACAGTTTAGAAATGAGCTGTCTAACAGACTGCAGTTCTACATTTGGAGATATAATCAGTAAGTGCGTCTAAATCTCGTCTAAAAACATACGTTAAACTTCTGAAGGAGGCTGAACAATGAATAAATGACGTCTGGCAGCGAGTTCCTCTCTCACCTCGGCTCTCTGTTCGTAGACCTCTGGCCAGTTAGGCTCCAGAGTGATGACTCGGTTGAGCTCGTACAACGCCAAGTCAGCGTTCTTTATGTCCTGGCACAGAGACACGGGAAGGGGAGGCAGTTATACTCTGTTGACACAAACCTTAATATATATATATAGAGAACAAAACTAGGAGCCGAGCCACAAAAAGCTTAAAGAACACCCCAAAAAAAAACTGCTGTGTAGCCCTTTTTTTGTTCGTGGAGGTCGCGCTCCCGTAACCGCAGAGTCCCGGTGGACTGAATCTGTATTCACTGAGTCATTCTGCGTTTACCTGAAACTGCTGCTGTCGCCAAAACGCCTTTTATTTGGAGGCGAATACAACCAAAGGCATCCAAAATATGCATATGGACAGCAACTCCCTGCGCTGCCAAACCCTCCAGTGTGGGTTTCCTTATAAATCTCATTTTGAGACTATTTTGGCACAAAGCTCAATAATGAATACGAGTGAACCAATTACACTGGGATTCAATGTGACTGGTTTTGAGCAGCAGGCTGAACTGTGAATGCAAATAAAGCCTGGATCAATATAGAAAACAGACTTTATATGGAACTTATAAAGTGTGGCTCATCTTATACTCTGTCTGTAACTGCAGCAACATTTTATTGCAAACAAACACACATTACTTCGGAGAGAACCTCTTCATGTCTTAATGTAATTATCAGGTTTTATGACATTGTAAATGCTCTGATGGAAGACACATTTCAGCTGCACTTTAATGGTTGATCCACACTAACAACTATAAATTAAGAGATAACAAACAGCGGTCAGTAGGAGAAATGGATGAAGTTATTGATGAGCTGCTGTATGTTTCACAGGAGGTTATGTTATCACAAAGACGAGTTTAAGTCACATTTTATTCATACTTTGGTAAAAAAAAAAAGAGGAAGGAGATCAGAGACCCAATCAGCAGCCGGTTTATCAGTATGTCTCAGCTAAAAAGACGTTTTTTAATGTGTAATTTAATACTTAATATAAGTAATAAACCACAATATTGTTCAGTGAATCTGAATATATACACCGTACGATATCATTCAGTCGTTGTCGTGGTGCGGACGGCCCTAGTTATGTCAAAGAACAGTAAACAACAACAATGAACTATTAAAAGAACATGAAACCGTTGTGGAACAGAGGAAAGCTGCCGTTATTAAGTCCACATCCATCACTCACCTGCAGACTTTTCTTCCCGTAAGCTATCCCTCTCCCATAGATGGCGCTGACCAGCTCTGGGTCGCCCTTTATATCAAAAGACAACATGTCAGGAAACAGTTTAGAGTCGGGGCTGGTTTTCGGAGAGAGCGAGGAGAGACTGATTCACAAACACACCTGCAATAAGAGCGAGAAGTGTTTGATGGCTTCATCGTAAAGGCCGTTGCCTATCAGAACGTAGCCTATAGCTGCAACGACAGAAACAAAAGGAGGGTGAGCAACCGGGAGGAACATCGCAGAGTCTGTTTCAGTGAGGTTCCCCTTCAGAGCGACAACTTACCGAGTTCTTCGTTTGTGTTGAGGTTATCCACGGGGAAGGGGATTTTCTTCTGCTCTATGAACAACTTGGCCTGGTTCTGTGTGAGGTGAGGAACAACAGAACAAAAGCATGAACAGAAGAAGGAGACGCGCTGTACGTGGAGACACTGCAACGGCACAACAGGAAACTGAATAAAGGTGTGAAAAGTCGGGCGAGAACATAAGGAAAGCAGAGAGTGTAACGCCGTCAGTCTCTCCTATCCAGTGAGACTCTGCTGAGTAGAAAAGTATATTTAAAGCAGGTGTAAAACGACATTTTGCATTTTTTGAAGGAGCTTCTCTCGAGGTTACACTGAATCCCTGTGAGCTGAATACTTCTGTGTATTGCATTAAAAAGAAAGAGTGGACTACTTTTCTCTCAGAGCGTCGCATCGCGTTCACTGTGTAATCCCGAACGGAGAGTGGCGGCGCGACATAAACGCAACCCACCGTTACAGGATGCAAATGTTGCTGCGGCAGCAATTTGGGTTTTTCCACAACGGCAACGACTGACGAGACAAATACTTTAATAACGTCGAGCAAACAGAAAGCAAACATCATCACAAGCTTCTCTCTTCCCTCAGGACGAGGTTGTTAAAAACAGCATATTCTTCTTTTTATTGATTTATTTACATTTTATGTTTTTTATTCTGCTCTGATTAATGTATTTTGGTATTTATTCTTTATACATTTAATTGTATTTTGTGTATCACAGCTATGATTTTGCTTTGTCCGTCGAAGCTCTTTGTAAACTCTCTATATAAATAAATAAAGTTATTATTATTAATCATGATTAGTGTGAAAACTATCGTCATTAACTTAATGAAACTATTAAAATCAGGAATATATGAACTTTGTTTTGGGACCAAACAGGCGAGCGCGTCGTGATAAACCTCTTTATTTATCTTCGATCGTAACAGAGTAAGTTTGTTCATTGTGCTTCAACGTTCTTCAGGAATAAAAGCAAATAAAGAGACATAACTTCCTTTAATTTCTACATCTGAACAGATCAAACCAAGAACCAAAGAGTGTGCAGCAAACTAAAACAGCAGCGTGAATAAATGACAGGAAATCAAACCTTAATTAACGTGTTTTTTGTTGTTTTTAGCCGCTAAAAACGATGTTAAGACGTCTAGGAACAACAATTTCTTACTGGAGGAAACCGTTAGAGTCTGTGGCTGTTCTGATAATGTGTGTGTGTGTGTGTGTGTGTGAGAGAGAGAGTGTGTGTGTGTGAGTGAGTGAGTGAGTGAGTGAGTGAGTGAGAGTGTGAGTGTGAGTGT